TTTTTAAGCCTCTGTTTTGTTCCTCATCATTTGATTTCTGTCCAAGACATTGACATTTATTAATACAAGGGCACATCCATATTCAACTGACGTGACACTGCACTTTGGAAGTTTGAAGGACCTGCTCCGAGAGGGTCTGAGCCCGGCAGTGCCTTGGGAAGGGCCCTCCCGACCCTCCTCCTTGAGCCCCCCACTGGGCGGGTCACAGAGCCCAGCAGGGGGTGCTGGGTGGTGGTGAGCACAGTTTGGCAGCGGAGCCACATGGTCAAGGGGGTGTAAGAAGCCGGGGACGGATTGGCTGACGGGTCAGGGAGCTGGCAGCTGGCTCAGACTGAGGAGGTTTGGAGAACCTAAGCTGGTTTTGTCGGCAAGTTCCTCAAGTATGGCTCCTCAGGCTGCCCGCCCTCTCCCACGTCTGCCCTGGGTTGCTCTTTTTGGGCAAAGGACAGCTCCGGGAGTGAGAGGAGTGGGGGCCCCGGATGTGCTCCTCCTCCCGGACCTGGCAGTGATGCTGGGGTGGGGGCTCAGGTCCCATCTCCCAGGTCGGAGCAGCCAGCAGCTGCCGGCCCCAGGATCCTTCACGGGTCCCCTGCCTGCCCCTGTGCCTCCCTCCTGCAGCCTGGCAGGGTGGAGCCAGGCATTGGAACTGCACAGGGCAGTCCCTCCAGCTGCTCCATCTCAGCTCCCTTGGGTGCCAATGAGGAAACTGAGGCCGAGGAAAGATAACTGACTAGTTCCTGCACTTTCAGTAAGTTTGCGTGAAAGCCAGACTTCGTGGGTTTTTCTTTCCTAATTGAGTCTTTTCTCCACCATCCTCACTGCTCCAAAACCCCTCCCTCCACACTTGCAGCCACCAAGTGACCGACCTGCTGCAGAGAAAGCAATACTGGCCCAGGGCTAGTAAACCATCGGTTAGCTCAGTGACCTCTTCTGTTTCGTTACTTCTCCCTTTATGTCAAACAAACAAACAAACAAGCCCCCAAATGATTAGATTTAGTAAGAACAGAACAGAATACTCTGTGGGTGATCGCAGAGTTGTTTTGGTTAAATTAAAAAAAAAAAAAAAAGAAAAGAAAAGAAATTGCCGTCATCTTGGCTAGTGTGGCTCAGTTGGTTGGAGCCTTGTCCTGTACACCTAAAGGTTGCAGGTTCAATTCCCAGGCAGGGCACAGCAGGTTTGATCCCTGGTTGGGGCATGTATGAAAACACTCTCTCTCTCCCTCCACTCTTAAAAAGAAGAAAAGGAAATTGCCCTCAAATGGGTCAGAGGACACATAAATGTGAGTTTAGGGGTTCCCTTGTCATTGATCTCCCAAATCTGGCCACACTGGGAAGTGAGTCAAAGTGTTAAAATGGGGCTTCATGCCCCAGGGGTTCATTTGGGGAGTTGCTGTGTCCCTACCTATGTTTTCTGTTGCCTTCTCCTGGACGCCCCACCTGTCCCACCATAAAGGAGCTGATATTCTGAGCATGAGGGCGCAGGACCCCTTCTTTCTCCCCACCCCCTCCCCCCGCCCAGCTCCACACCCTTTTGGTTCAGAATCTTCTGCAGAAGATGGACTTCCCACTGTGGCTTGCTGCTCCCTACCATGGTCACCCCTGCTGTGGTGCGCCGTGCTTCTGCAGGGGTGCCTGGCAGACGAGAGGGGCCACTCCACACTCGTGGTGCCTGGCTGGCCTGGACGGGCCACAGGCTCCAGGCCTTCGAGGCCTGGGAGCAGCGGCCTGAGATGTGGCGGCCCCTGCAGGCCGGAGCAGGAGCGGCAGCATCTGTGAGGCAATGGCAGGTGGCTGCCCGGGCACCCAGTTTACACAGGACACAGTCTCTGCTGGCCAGAGAGACCCTTTCTTCCATTTCTGGAAGCTTCCAGAATACAGAGGTCCCCCGCGGTTTTCCTTTCTGTGGTTTCAGTTAGCTGTTGTCAACTATGGTCCAAAAACATTAAACGGAAAATTCCTGAAATGAACAATTCATAAGTTCTCAGTTATGTGCCGTTCTGGGTAGCGTGACAACATCTCATGCCATCCCACTGTGTCCCGCCCGGGCTGTGGCCATCCCTTTGTCCAGCGTGTCTGCTCTGTGGACACACTGTCCCTGTTAGTCACTCAACAACCGTCCTGGTTATCGGGTCCACTCGCAGCATCCCAGTGCCAGTGTTCAGGTCGCCCTTGTTTTACTTAGTGGTAGCTCCGAAGCTCAAAAGTAGGGGTGCTAGCAGTCCGGGTGAGCCACAGAGCAGCCGGACCGTGCTCCTTTGAAGGGAAGAGGCAGGCGCAGTGCGGCGAGATACTTTGAGAGAGGTTGACCACATTCACATAACTATTATTACAGCATACTGATGTAATTGTTCCATTTTACTTTTGTTGTTGTGGTTAATCCTGCACTATGCCTGACTTACGAATTAAACTTTACCCTAGGCGTGCGTGCGTGCGTGCGTGTGTGTGTGTGTGTGTAGGGAACAGCGTTGCGTGGCCACTGGAGGACCTGGAGCGTGCCCCCCCCCGAATAAGGGGGTGTGCTGTTTTTGAAATAATACTAGTAAAGAAACAGGGCTGCCGAGCTGTAGTGTATTTTAAGCCTTTACTTGGAACAGAGTAACACTTTTCCCACTCACAGCAGCGCGACGGTGCTATTCACAGGATAGCAGAAATTTTAAAACAAAGCAAAACAAACCACAATGCACCAAAGGCTGGAAGTGGGACACCTGTTTAAAGTTCTCTGATGAGTCTCATTTTTTTACCCTGTGTTTTCCTGGTGTGCATGTTGGCCTCATTTGAGAGAAGGTCAAGGCCGAATCTGAGGAGGACTTGGAGGATGGGGGCACGGCCATGCTGGGCCTGGCCAGGGGGTTGCCACACACGTCTCCCTCCCAAAGCCGTCCACAGTGGGAAGCAGGATCCTGCATGTGCTTGCAGAGTGGGATAGAGACACCCCCGTGGGAAGGGCCTGGGCTTGGTCCCCTGGTCACTGAGCTGTGGTCTGCGTGCTGCCCCCTGCTGGTCACCACAGAAATGGGTGACATTGGTCTGGAACAGCCATTCTCAAACCATGGGCTTGGGGGTCCCCAACAGGTCAGGGGGTCTACAAGGTCAAAATTATTTTATAATAATAATAAAACATTTGGTCTCATTTTCTCACAAATATAGGCAAGGTGAAAAGTTTATTGATGTGGTTTCAGATGCCACATTAGAACTAATCTTTAAGAAACAGCCAACGCTTGGGTGTTGGGGCAGCGCGGGAGAGGAGCCAAGGTAGCTGGGAAGGTCATTCGGACACCCCCCCTTTTCCAACCTTAGCACACATCTGCGAGCGTCTGGATGTCCCTGCTGCACTTAACAAAACCACTCTTGCGAGAGGTTGAATGAAAAGTCAGGTAGGGACATTGGCTGCTTTTTGTTAAGCCAGCCATTACACAGACTTATGAAAATGTAAACCAATCCTATTATTCTCACTAAGAGTTTTTGTTTTGAGAATATAGTTTTTATTTTGTAAAGTATGTGAACATCTAATGAGTTTATTATTTTAATGAAGTTTAAATCTTCCTGTTTTAAATATCCTAATGTTGTATCGGTAGATATAGCTCATATTCCTCTGGAGTACTCAAGAATTTTTGTAACAATTTAATGAGATGTAATTCCCATGCCATCAAATTCACACTTTTACAGGGCACAATTCCGTGGTTTTGGTGTCACACAAAGCTGGGCGACTGTCACCATAACCCCAGGACATTTTCACCCCAAAGAAGCCCCGAGCCCAGTCAGCCCCCCAGCCCCGCCCGACAGCTGCTGAACTGCTTTGCCTCTGCAGGTCCACCTTTTCTGAATAGTTCCTGTAAACGGGGCCACACAACATACAGTCTTTTGTGTCTGGCTTCTTTCACTTAGCGTAATGTTTTCAAGGTTCATCCACATTACGGCCAAACAATATTCCTAGTATGACAAGCCACACTTTATCCATCTGTCAGCTGATAGACATTTGAATTGCTGCCACTTTTTGGCTATTATGAATACTGTCGCTGTGAACATTCACGCATCTGTTTTTGTGTGGACATGTTTTTAGTTCCCTTGGGTGGGTATGTACTGAGAAGTAGTTTCTGGGTCAGATGGTAACTCTGGCCCCACTGGGAAGTGACTCAAGACTAAGATCCAACCTCAGTGCTTTGTAAGAGTAAAGCGAAAGAAGTTCCATGTTTGAGAGCCCCTAGGCTACATTAGAGCAGGGGAGTGTGGGTAACTCAGGACGGCCCCTCGTCTTTGCTCTGGGTTGATACCCTCCAATCACCCCTCTCCCCACCCTCGTCCTCCTTTTTCTCCTTGTGTTTTTCTAACACAACTCCTTGGTGGCAAAGAGAAAGCCATTATGACAGACTGTAGAGGTTAAACCACCAGAAGGTCCTGGGGCCGAGTCACCTCTCTGTAGAATTTCCAGGATGCCACTCATGCCACGTCCCCTGCAGGCCTGTGGGTGGCGGTCTCGGCTGCAGCTGTGAGTCCCGGGCCCCCTCCCCGCCCCAGCACTGTGATCGCTGCTGTGGTGGAGCTTCTTGGGGGCAGAGTCTGAGAAGTCCCTGTTAGCAGAGCTGGGGAAGGCGGCTGGCTTCAGCCACAGCCGTGTGCCTGCGGTCGCTACTCAGGTCCCCTCCAAAAAGAAGGGCTGTCTAGTCATACTCCCCACCCCACCGCCCGCCCAGGCCCCTCCAGGGAGGTGTTGTGCGAAGCACAGCTGTACTCGGAGGGAGCAGGCATCAAATCCCCCCCAGCCCAGGCTTGCCAGCTAAGTTGAAAATGCAGTTACCCTCCCAGAGTTACGAGCCTTTCGAAAGAGGAGCTTGGAGGGAACAGTATTTATCTGGAGGAGTGAGTCTGAAGGTGAGACTGCAGGCAGCAGTGGGCAACGTACGGGGACAGGCCGGAAGTGCCCGTGCGGAGCCTGAGGGACCCGCCTGCCAACTGCACCCCAGCCAATGACACGCTCTTTCTTTTCCCTCCTCTCACCTCAGATGTGACTGCCGCCCACTGGCTGGATGCTCCAGGCATGGCCGACACCATCTTTGGCAGCGGGAGTGATCAGTGGGTCTGCCCCAATGACCGGCAGCTTGCCTTGCGAGCCAAGTGAGTACCTCCGAAGCCCCGCCAGGTCTCCTCCTTCTTGTCCCTGTTCCCCTCCTTCTTGTCCCTGTTCCCCTCCTTTCTTGGGCAAGATTCAGTCCCAGGGACCCGGAGAGACACGTATGGAGACAAGCCCTGTCTGAGAAACACCATGCTCCACGCCCTGAGCCAGCACTGAATGGCCACTCACGCATTTAACCAGCCTGTGGGATTTAGCTCCATTTCTCAGGGGAGGAAAGGGAGGCCGGGCTCCTTGCCCAAGTCACTTACCCGTGACTGGCAGGGCCAGGACCACGCCAGGGTCCTTCCGACTCCCGTGCCTGGGTTATTTCTATCACAACAGGCCTCTCGGAGGCAGGCCACTTGCTTTGCCTGCCCTGTTAAGAGCATAAATCCCTGCCCCCCACCCGGGTCTTCTGTCCCTGAGCTTCCAGAGGCGGGGAGCCTTTGACCTCTGGAGACCCACCGTACAGCTGAGTGCCCGGTGCTGACAGACAGGACAGAGTGCGGGCAGGTCAGCGAGTGCAGAGCTGAGCCAGTGCCAGACACACGGCCGCCTCAGGGGCACCCCGGGCTCCACCGCCCTCCTGTCAGGGGCTCTCTGGTTCGGCCTCGTCCCCTTGGGGCCCTGTTCTCTCTCATCCTGGTGACTCAGCGCCACTGCCCCAACGGGCAGCGGGGGTCAAAGGGGTGCCACGTCAATCTGGGAATGGGCCAGGGCTTCACTTAGAGTGTGACACTTTCGTGGAGTCCTGGAGGGGGGGTAAGTGTTGGACGGAAACATGGGGGAGGGGTCCCTAGAAGCCCTGCTCTCCTCCTCTGGCTGAAGACCAGAGGCTCGGAAAGGCCTGCCTTGCCCTCCTGTCTCCCTGTCTCTCCAAGGGGTCAGAGGTCCCTGGTGTCACATCAGCCTCAGAGTCCCCTTCATCTGTCAAACCTTGCCAATTACCAGAGCCAGCATTTCACAAATGGGACCAAGTTCAAACAATCTGCAATTGGACGTGAGGAGCCTGGAGGGACACAGAGCTGAAACATCAAAGGGGGCGAGAAAAATTAATCTGAAATGCCCCAGAAGAGCAGAGTCCTGCATGATCTGCAGTTCATTTGTCCCTGTCACTGGGACAGCTCAGCCCTGCAGGGGAAGAGACCGGGGGGGGGGGGGGGGGACACCGGCCCCTCTCCCGTCTCCTCTGACGCCTGGCAAGGCGATGTGTCCTGCCCGCCTGGGTCCAAGGAGCCAGGGAGCGCTGCACTCTGGTACCAGGTCCCCGGGTGACCCCTGCTGTCCCTCCAGCATTTCCTTCAGTTTCCCCTGACCTTGGCCTGCGCTCAGCAGCAGCCAGAAGCTGTTGTCGCACCTTTGAGAAGAGCAAATGCTTTTATCTTCTCCCTGGGGCGTGCTGCCTTGGAGCACCAGGCGCCGTGTCACGCCAGGCCCCGTGTCACGCCAGGCCCCGTGTCACGCCAGGCCCCGTGTCACGCCAGGCTTTGTAAAGGAGAGCACTCCCCTTGTCCACTGTGCTGAGGGACCCCCCCGGATGCCTGGGGAAATTAGCGTCCCTGGCTCTAGCTCAGGTCTGTCCTTCTTCCTCCAGCCACGACCTGACATTTTCCAAACCCCTGCTGTGTGCCTGGCACCGGTTGCACAGCAGTGAATAAGACCACTACCGTCTTTTGTCTTCAGGCGCTAATGGGTACAAGTGAGAATTATGTGCATGGTGACCTGTGAGCTTTGACAGGGGACACAGGCCGTGGGGGTGAAAGGGGTGCCAAGTCAATCTGGGAATGGGGCAGGGCTTAGCTTAGAGTGTGACACTTTTGTGGAGTCCTGGAGGAGGGGTAAGTATTGGACGGAAATATGGGGGAGGGGTTTCTAGAAGGAACAACAGCATGTGCAAAGGCCCTGAGGCAGAAGGAGCAGGCACAAAGAGGACCTAACAGGAGGCCAGTGTTGACATGAATGCAGGGTGAGTAAGGCAGTGAATGGCATAAAGGGAAGACAGCAGAGGCGAGATGGGGCAAGGATGGGTCCTCCAGAGACTCACATTCTGGAGAGGGAACGAAGGGCCCTAGCTTGCCTCAAAATGAAGTTTAAGCTCAGTGATAGAGCTATGCCTGGACCTTATGAAAACTTGGAGCATGGATTCTCCAAGTTTTCCCATGGGGCATCTCAGAAAAACCTCCAAGATCCATCTCGGAAGGGATCAAGGAAAAACCTGCTGGTGAAGATCATGTGTAAAAGAATAGGAGTGAGCTCATGGAAAGGGGGTTCGGGAGAGGGGCTTGCTCCCCAGGTGGAGGGCATGGAGTAAGCAAAGGCCTGGAGACACCCTGGAACTCGGCGCTAGAAGCAGATGTTGGTAATGCACACCAACAGGGGAGGTCAGGGGAGCTGAGGGAGGGGGGTGCCTCTGGGGGGCATACAGATGGGTGCTGGGCACCACCGCACGTGCTTCCCCGTGGGCTGCAGCCCGTCTGCATCTAGCACCTTGTTGGGCCTGCGCTGGCTGTGTGGAGGGACACTGCAGGGCAACAAGACACTCAGTGGCAGCTGTGGCTGAAAGTGGGAGTGGGGCCTGATGGACGGGGGGAGGAGCCGGGGGAGGAGTCACATGGGAGGCCTAGTGGGTGGTCAGATGGAGGCAGGAGAGGCAGCTCGGAGGATGACCTGGGGGAGCCCGCAGGCTGTCCTCCCTTAGATGGGAGCCCCCTCTGAGAAGCTGGGATCCTGCCCTGCAGAACAGCACAAGGCCCAGTGGGAGGGGCCTGCAGAGCACCAGGCTGGTCCTGGGCCCTGTGTGAGCTGAGCAGGCGCTGCACCCCCTGCGACAGCTGGCGCTGCTGGTGTTGTGCCCTCCTGCCTCTGGCGGACTGGGTCAGTTCCCCTTATTTACGTGTCCTCCTGACACCCACCTGCACAACACCCGCACAGCATGGCTGCAGCCCCTTGTGGCCGGGTATCACGGTGCATGGATGCTCAATAAGCGTGCATTGAGTGAATAGCTCTTATACTTTCTCATTAAATGAATATTGTGTAATTGATTGGGCCTCTGTCTCCCCCAGCACACTGAAGTGCTTTAAGGCCGTGACTTCGCCATCTTGCCCCCAACACCTGGCATAGAATGTCTCGGAGAAGCTGGGACCCCGGGCAGGCAGCCTGGGGCTTGGCCTGCTGCTGCCACTCTCCTCAGCCAGAAAAACAGAAAGGATTTGAGTCTGTCCCCTCACACCCCGCTTACAGCCACAGGGCCCCGGGCCCCAGCCCACCTCTCCTCCCCTGCAGCTCCATTACCCTCCCACCCTTGATCCCTCTGCTTTCAAAATGCTGTCAATCTCCTTTTATCCTCGAGATTTATTTTAAACCCAATTACAGTTCTTTCCTTGTCCATGGTAAACTCTGTCTCACTTTCTTCTGTGACTCAGATGTGGGTTTTTATTCTTGTCCTGATCATCTTCTGGGCTTCTCCCGCAACACCTCACGCGCCGTGGCGGTGGCCTTCTCCATTTGCACAGCCAGCGCGTTCCATGCTCCTGCCTCCCGGGGAGCTGAGGTGGCGCTGCCGTCCTCTCAAGGCCCAGCAGCTGGTGGGTGGTGGAGCTGGAACGTGGTGCTGGCATGTGGAGCCTGACGTCTGCCCTGTTCCCTGACACAGCAGCCAGGCGTTTTGTGGATATGATGGGGTCGGGGTTTGCACTGGGGTGGCCTCAAGGCCTGTGTTGTTCTCTCTCGAGGCTGCAGACAGGCTGGTCTGTGCACACCTACCAGACAGAGAAGCAGAGGAAGAGCCAGAGCCTCAGCCCGGCCGAGGTGGAGGCCATCCTGCAGGTCATCCAGAGGGCTGAGCAGCTTGATGTCCTGGAGCAGCAGAGGATCGGGTAAGGGCTGCCCCAGGCTGGGTCAGAAGCAGGTTGGTGAGAGGAGAACAAGGGTGCCTAGTGCCAGATCAGTGGGCTGGGAGGCTGGCACCCTCGTCCTAGGGCTGGGTTCTCACCTCCAGGAGAGAGTCAGCTCTGCTCGAACACCCCTGAGTGCAGACATGGAACCCAGCCCAGCCCTTTGAAGCCTCAGTGAGCGAAGCCCCATCTGTAAGGTGGGGATAGTGGCTGATGTGCAGGCCCCAGGCCGTAGAGGGTAAGCGAGTGTGGAGAAATGTGTGAGGGGCTGTTCAGCTCTGCACACTTAAGAATTAGCTGTGTTCCAGCAGTGAGGGATTTAAGTCAAGGCTGAACCTGGGACTTCTGGCCAAGATGGAGGCATAGGTAGAAACACTGTACCTCCTCACACAACCAAAATTAAGGACAACAAAGATTTAGAAATAAAAGCACAACCAGAACAGACAGAAAATTGAACTGAACGGAAGTCCAGCAACCATTCGACCAGACCGGTGAGACGGGCGAAGTCAACGGCAGGCGGAGAGGGGTCTTGGCAGGAAAAGGTGGTGGCTGCCAGACCCCGGAGCACAGGCGGCACAGGGCTGACCACGGTCACACATTCCCATGCAGATAAACCAGCCAAAAATGGGCAGTGAGACAACTAGGCAACCCAGGGCCCCAGTGACAGGAAATAAAGCCTAAAAGCACCGAATTGAAAAGGTGCCAGGAGAGACTCCCAGCCTCACAGGAGAGTTCGCTGGAGAGACCCACAGGGTCCTAGAACGCACACAAGCCTGCCCACCTGGGAACCAGCACCAGAAGAGCCCAGTTTGCTTGTGGGAAGTGTCAAAGGGGACTGAAATCTGAGAGAGAGCGAGGAGCAAGCGCCAATATTCCCTCTCTGGCCCCGCCCCCACATATAGCCTCACAACCCAGCAATGTGGGTTGCCCCACCCTGGTGAACACCTAAGGCTCCACCCCTCATATGTAATAGGCACCACCTGACAAAAAAATTATGGCTCAAACAGAAGAACAAATCGAAGTCCTAGAGCCAATACTTCCAAGTGACAAAGAAATAGCCAACCTATCAGATGCACAGTTCAAACCACTGGTGATCAGGCTGCTCACAGAACTTGTTGATTTTAGTCACAAATTAGAGAAACATATGAAAGCTAAATTAATTGAAATGAATGGTAATGCACAGGAAACCAATAGTAATGGAAAGGGGACTGGGACTCAAATTAGTGGAGTGGACCAGAAGGAAGAAAGAAAGAAACAAACAGAAAAGAATGAAGAAACAAGAATTCAAAAAAATGAGGAGAGGCTTAGGAACCTCCAGGACATCTTTAAACGTTCCAACATTCAAATTATAGGGGTACTAGAAGGGGATGAGGAAGAGCAACAAGTAGAAAAGTTATTTGAACAAATAATAAAGGAGAACTTCCCCAATCTGGCAAAGGAAATGGACTTCCAGGAAGTCCAGGAAGCTCAGAAAGTCAGTCCCAAAGAAGGTGGACCCAAGGAGGAACACACCAAGGCACATCATAATTGTATTAGCCAAGATTAAAATGAAGGAGAGAATCCTAGAAGCAGCAAGAGATAAGAGGATAGTCACCTACAAGGGAGTTCCCATCAGACTGTCAGCTGATTTCTCAAGAGACCTTACAGGCAAGAAGAAGCTGGAAAGAAGTATTCCAAGTCATGAAAGGAAAGGACTTACATCCAAGATTGATCTATCCAGCAAAGCTTTCATTTAGAATGGAAGGGCAGATGAAGTGCTTCTCAGATAAGGTCAAGTTCAAGGAGTTCATCATCACCAACCCCTTATTATATGAAATGTTAAAGGGACTTATCTAAGAAAAAGAAAATCAAAAACATGTATAGTAAAATGACAGCAAACTCACAGTTATTAACAACTACACCTAAAACAAAAGCAAACTAAGAGGACAGTTAGATCAGGAACAGAACCATAGAAATGAAGATCACATGGAGGGTTAGCAACAGCAGAGTGGGAGAAGGAGAAGGGGAAAAAAAGGTACAGAGAATAAGTAGCATAGATGGTAGGTAGAAAATAGACAGGGGAGGGCAAGAGTAGTATGGGAAATGGAGAAGCTAAAGAACTTGTGGCACATGGACATGAACTAAAGGGGAGAAATGGGGGAGGGGTGTGCAGGGTGGAGGGGAATGAAGGGGGAAATGGGACAACTGTAATGGCATAATCAATAAAATATATTTAAAAACAAACAGACAAACGAACAAAAAGGCTGAACCTGGATCATCTCAAATAAGACTCTAACAGGAGATGCTCTCCAGCTTGTTCTAAGCTCTTCTCCTGGTCGACATCGAGAGCTGACTACAGCACAGATTTCAAATAACTTTGTTGAGTGTTTTTTTGCTTGCTTTTAAAAAAAAATTTGATTTATTGATTTGAGAAAGAGAAACATCAGTTTGTTGTTCCATTTAGTTATGCATTCATTGGTTATTCTTGCATCTGCCTGACTGATTGAACCCACAACCTTGGTGCAGTCGGGACAGTGCTCCACCCAATTGAGCTACAAAAGTAATTGCCATTTCCTCGAAAATCTGAAAAACATAGAAAAGCACAGTGGGAAAACCAAACATACTGTATTCATTGCCTCAGGCAGGAATTAATTTGATGCTGAATTCCTTGTGCTTCTTCTATTTATCTTTTTCTTTTTAAAGATTTCATTTATTTACTTTTAGAGAAAAGGGAGGGAAAAAGAAGAAGAGAAAGATCAATGTGTGGTTGCCTCTTGCACACCCCCTACTGGGGACCTGGCCCACAACCCAGGCATGTGCCCTGACTGGGAATCAAACTGGTGACCCTTGGCTTTTCAGACTGGCACTCAACCCACTGAGCCACACCAGCCAGGGCTATCTATCTTTTTCCGTTAAATATATGATCATTCGAAAAAGTCAGACATTATTGCCCTGGCTGGGTGGGGTTCTGCTCACTGCAGGATGGGGGGGTGGACAACTAGAGGAGATAATGTAACCAACCCCACTGTCCGTTCATTCAAGAATTTTCACTGAGTGGCCACTGGAGATACTGCTGCCAACAAAACAGAAGTGGCTGCCAGTTTCGGGGAGGTCATATTGTTGCATGATAAGATGTCATGAAATGGGGGCCATGGTGGGCTGAGGGGCCGTGGGACCCTGAGCAGAGGCACCTACCCCCGGCTTGGTGGCGTTCGGGGGAGGCTCCTGGACGGGCTCTTTTTCTTCCTTCTCCAGCCTCTCCATCCACCCAGGTGCTCAAACCAAAGTCCCCTGCATCATCCTGGATCTCTCTTACCTGCCCTCCCCCCAGATCTGTCGAGGCTGCCTCGGAAGTGCAGCCCACCCCACCCCCCTTCCCTGGGCCTCCCACCACCCCCTGCCGCCTTCCTCACCTCCACACCCCCCCCATCCTGAGTGGGATTTTAAAATGCCATTTGGTTTAAATCATTCCTCTACTTAAAATTCCTCAGTAGCTTCTCCTTGATCTTGGAGAATAATCCAAACTCCATTTTGTGACCCGCAAAACCCACGTAGTCCAGCCGTCCTCAGGCTCCCTCCCATGTGCTCACGGAGCAGCAGCCACTCGGCCTCCTGATTCTGCTGTGCCAGGCCCTTTCTTGCCCGGGACGGTCCAGATTCCCTCTGCCAAGAATGCTTCCTCCCCTAGCTTTTCGCACGGTTTGGTCCCTGTCATCCTTCAGCTCTCAGCCCAAGTGTCCTCAGCGAGGCCCCACCCACCCCCCCTGATATGCCCCCATCCCCCTTGTTTCTTCCTCCCCCACCCACTTACTTTATCAGTTTGCTTGTTGGCTTGTATCTGCACTTTCTCCCTTTACTGAACATACATTCTGTGAGAGCAGGGACCACGTCCGTCCCTGGCTTGTTTGCTACAATATTCTCAGTGTCTGGCACATCATAGATGTTCAGTTAATACTGGTGCATAGATAAATAACTAGGAGCTATAGCCAGGGAAAGAGATGAGGTGGGGAACAGTACCCCAGGTGAGGGGACAGCACATGGGGCTTGGTGCAGCGTGGGGCCTCAGGGCAGCCGTGTCCCCGCAATGGTTGGGCTGGGGACAGGAAGTACATCCCATCTGACTCTGTGTCCTCTGGTGCAGGCGGCTGGTGGAGCGGCTGGACACCATGAGGCGCAACGTGATGGGGAATGGCCTCTCCCAATGTCTGCTCTGTGGGGAGGTGCCAGGCTTCCTGGGCAGCTCGTCAGTGTTCTGTAAGGACTGCAGGAAGGTAAGACCCTGCTCTGGCCCTGCTACTCCGGCTACCCAGCCTGGACTAGCTGAGTAGCTGCTGCTCTGTGCCTTTGCATTCTGGCTCCCGGGAGTGTGTGTATGTTTGTGTGTACATACGTAAGCACATGGTATCCTATGGTTCTTGGCAAGAAGGGTTGGAGCCTGAAGGTCGAATGGCCCAACTTCTAGGGCTAGCCCTGGGGAGTGCACCTGTGCATCTCACAGGCCATGGTGTGAATTCAGCTCCTCCTCCAGCCATGTGACCTCAGAGAACTCGTTCAATATGCCATGCCTCACTGTTCTCACCTGTAAAACAGGAATAATGATAATACATACCTTAGAGAGTTGGGAGAATTAAATATTACATGCAAAGCATTTAAAACCTTGTCTAGCACATTAGGTACTCAGTAAATGTTACTGAGTAAATACAGTTCTCCTCGGAGCCAAATTATATGCTCGGATCACACCTCCTGTTCTGTTGGTCTGCTCTCCCGACCCTTGGCTGCCCAAACAGGAGTGATCTCTGCAGCAAGGCCAGATGGACTGTCCCCTGTTCTTATCATAATATCCCATTGATGGTTCTAAATTGTGCCACAGGTTAAACTGTTTCATATTGAATCCAATACATTTTATAGTAACTTTTTGTTTTTCCTGGAGTTTCTGATTGCCTTTCTTTTTCTTATTGACAAAAGAATAATGTGCCTTCTAACCCTCAAGATTATTTAGCATCTCAGTTTCATTCTCTCTCACATGGAGCCTGTGTTTTGGTCCTGCCAGAAACCCTCTTAGATTCTTACTCTTGCTTGGGCTTAGAGCGACAGCTGCACGGCTGTGATCATGGGACTTCACTTTTCTGCCCTCCTAGTTCAGAGGCACTGTTCCTGAGACACCACGTCATTTACTTTTTTAGATTTTCACTCTAAGTTTGCTGGGACCAATCTTCAAGTAACTTCCCTGGGCCAGTCACTCTTAAGTGTAGAATTATTTTGATGAACAAGACAGAGAAAGAACCTTCTTTCATGAGAGTACATTGGGTGGGGGAACCCAAAAATTTGATTAAAAATGATCAAACAATTAAGACCTCAGGAGGAATAAATTCTGGGAAGAAGTAACAGGGGATAGAAGTCTGGGGGTGGGGTGGGGTTGAGAAGACAGTAAAACATGAAGAAGTCAAAACCTGGAGGCCACTGGCAACCTTGATAAGGACATTTGCAATGGCGTTCGACAGCTGGATAAGAGAACAAGGCGCAAAGAGGTTAATATGCCCAATTAATAAGTGGAAAAACCAGGACTATCGCTAAGATTGTTTGCCCCTTACTCTGGGACATGCAGTGAACTGGGCTCAGGACTGTGGATTTACTGGTGAAGGTTCTCAAGGACACTGGAGGGGCCTGGGTGTCAGGGAAGGGATAGGCACTCATGTGCCAGCTCCTCCTGAAACCTTCCACAGACTCTGGATTCAATGCCAGCATAGGTGGTGGGCACAGGGACCTGGGCAGGCGGGGCTATATTTTGTGATTTCTGCCTTGGCAGTTGGGACCCAGCAACTTCTGACCTCCCTCTGCCCCTCAACCCCACAACCACTGTCCACATTCAGGTTTGCTGGTCCATGAAGAGGGGGCAGAACCTTACCTCCTTCCCCTAGAAATGTCGGGGGGCTCTGCCACAGAGGCAGGCTGCTGCCCCTGCTGCGGAGGGGCTAGGCCGGCTGCTCCACAGAGAGCCGTTTCCTGGGGCACGTGGCAGGGGCACGTGGCAGGCCCAGGGGAGGACCTCCGCTGGGTGTGGGGGCGGGCGAAAATGCTCCTGCAGACGCTCCTGCCTCCCCCACCCCATGGTGCCTGGAGCACATTTCCATTTGAAATTATTCTTATTCTGCTGTGGGCTGAGGACTGGGTCCTGGCTTGCGTGGCCAGTGAGGAGCCCTTCAAGCTTCTGAGGAGACTTGTCCTGGATAAAAGTGGGAGGAGAATGTGCTGATCGCGGCCCCGGCTGAGTGATGGGCATGGGGGGGGGTTTCTTCATCCATCCTGAAGAAGACTGTGCTATTCATTCATTCACTTTGCGGATAGTAGAGGGGCCACACTGTGCAAGCCCTGTTCTAGGGGCCGGTGATACTGTGAACGAGAGGGAGAAATCCTTGTTCTCATGGAGATTACTTTCTGGGGGTGGGCGAAGAGTGACAGGAAACAAACAAACATAAAATCACGTCAAGTGGTCTGAGGGCTCTGCAGTGAGTTAGAACGCAAGCAGCCGCCAGCCCCCCGAAAATCTGGGTGGAAAAGAGTTCCCAGCAGAGGGGACAGCAAGCATGAAGGCCCCTGAGGCAACAGCCAGCTGAGCAGGTTCAAGGAACTAATGAAACATCTGGGCCAGAGGGAGCGAGAGGTGGGCACAGCTGATCACACAGGGCTTCATAGTCAAGGTCAGGAGCTGAGATTCGTGCTGAGTTTAGTGGGACGCCAGTGGAGCCTGTGAGCAGGGCTGCGATGTGAGCTGATTTGTTTTTAAGAGGCGAGTCTAGTGCTGTCTGGCGGGTGGATTGCAGGGGGACACAGAGTGCAAGCTGGAGACGAGGTCGAGATGGCTGTCACCGGGAGATGATGGGGCCGGGGGCAGGGCAGCCTGTGGACAGGGACCTTCTGCTAGAGCATCAGGCTCTTCACTGCACTGTGAGCAGATGCACTGTGAGCAGATGGGGAAGGGTTCGAGGGAATGACCTGGGAAGGAAAGAGGGTCCTAGGCGGCAGTCGGGCCGGGGCAAGAGGGCACCCGTCCCCCCCCCGCACAGTGAGTGGGCGCTGTCCCTGCTGGGCTTGCCGACAGGGCTGTTCCCATGCAGGTGGACGAGGTTGTGGTCCCAGTGCAGTGACCTTGTGCAAGTCTCTCAGCGTGTCTCAGCCTCTGTTTCTTTATCCGTAAACAGGATAATAAAGCTTATGAACTCATTGCCCGGGTGTGAGCAGCAAATGAGCTAATGCAGGGAAGCCCTTCCTAGAGGGTCCACTTCGAACGTTCAGTAAAGGACACCTGTCGTTGCAGCCGTTACCGTTCATCTGCTCCAATGTCCTAGCTGTTCGGACTGCCCACGTGCTGCCCTGGCTGGGTGGCTCAGTGAGTTGGAGCATCATCCCACAGACCAAAAGGCCGTGGGTTCCATCCCCGGTCAGGGCACATACTGGGTTATGGGTTCTGTTCCCAGTGGGGCACATACTAGGTTGCAGGCTTCATCCTTGGTCAGAACATGTACTGGAGGCAACCGATCAATGTTTTTTTTCTCACGTCAACCTTCCTCACTCTCAAATCAACAAACATATCCTTGGGTAAGGAGCAAAAGAAAAAAGAATGGAACTTACCCCCATATATCTCAGAAGAGGGTTAGTGACATCCCACGAATTGGTCAGCTCAGCTGCCGAAACCAAATACCACGGACCAGGCAGCTTCAACGGCAGATTTATTTTTCGTAGCTCCGGAGGCTGGGAAGCTCAGGATCGATGTGCTGGTCAGGCCAGTTTCTGGTGAGAGCCTTGGCCTGCAGGTGGCCACCTTCTCACCGTGTGCTCACACAGGAAAGAAAACTCTGGTGTCACTTCCATTTCTGTTAGGACAGCAGTCCTGTCGGACCAGGGCCCCACCCTGACGGCCTCATTAAACCTCATCACCTCCAGCAGACCCTGTCTCTGCTGCAGCCACTTTGGGGACCAGGGCTTTAACGTTTGAATTTTCAGGGGACACAGTTCAGCCCATAGCACCCCACATTCTCCTTATTAGAATTCATGTTTTCTTGAACTTAAAATCAGAGTTCCTACACTTAGTCCCATATTTTTTGTAATTTCTAGAAAAGCCTCCGGAAGCCCTGTAGCCGTCCAGCACTGGATGCCCTGAGCCATCAGTGAAACCAGACTCCTCTGTTTCTGTGCAAGTTCCTCATATCAGTGACAGGCCAATCTGGGCTAGGGAAATCCAAAAGGACAAGTGTCCAGGTCCCTTCCCTCAGGTCTTCATGGTCACAGAGGGAAAGCAGTGTTCTCTAGAGTGATGCTGACCATAGCTGGGACCAAGGTATCCAGGACTAAGAGCAATCAGGAGGGCTGCCTGGAGGAGCTGGCTCCTGAAGCCTTCTGAGAGGCTGAGAGTAGAGTGAAGCGCATTCCACTCAGGGGAGAGCAGCACAGCAAAGACATGGAGCTGGAAATGGGCGGGGCAAGCCCCTGACGGTGAGGATGCAGGCCCTGAGGGCAGGGAGAAGTACTGAAAGAAGAAAAAACAGAGGAGATGACATCAGAGTTGACTTAGGAATGGGGGACTTGGAGGAGGGACAGAGGCCAGATCACAGGGACATGAAGACACAGGGCAGAGCTGAGACCTTCGTGTAGTAGGAGATGGGCCTTGTTGGAAGGAGTTCTCTGAGGCCAAGCTGCGTTTGAGCAGAGTGGGCAGGTGGGCAGGGCCCCGGAGCCCCAGGAGACGATGGGGCTATCACACAGACAGCCTGCAGCCACTGCCAGGCGCCGGCTACTTAGGAGATCAGGAGCGGGGCCCAGACCTAGCCCCAGAGTCCCCAGCAAAGCCCTAGCCCTTGCAGGGGCTCTGTGGTGTCCCAGAGGGGAGGACACCGTCATCGGTTCCCTCATCCGACAAACACGTATTGTTGTTCTCCCACTGGTGCAGGCAGGGGTTGTGGGGTGAGGACAGACAGACCCCTGCTACCTGGAAGGATGGGTAATTAGAGATGTGCTCAGGTTACAGCCACAGCCCTGGGGGCCTGAGAGCTCTCACAGGGCACTGGCCCAACTGGGTCCACCAGTGGCTGGGGTGCCTCTGTTTATTTCCAGCTCCGCTTTCTGCCCCTCACTCTTCGCAGCGGTGGGCAGCCCTGGCTCCTGGAAGCCTGTGGCCACGGGCAGGCTGCTGGGGAGGTCTCTGACACGGGGATTATCCAGGTCCAGGCCCGGGGGCCGACCCTCAGGTGCTCCTGGCCTCCCAGAGCGGAGCCCG